CGAAAACTTTTGATTGATTTGATTCCAACGCGGGATGAACGACTTCACATAATATACCTAAAAATTATTTTTAATTTTTTTTATTTTTATACAACAAAATACGAAGAAACTTTTTCCACCACCGATAAAGGGATTGGATTGGGAAGCGTTCACGAAATTTTACTAGGTGGTGGGAGTCTTTTATTGGATAGCTTCCACCACCTTCTTTCATACTTCTGCCGCCAAATGGGAGTGCTTGCACTGCTATGATCTCGTCTAAAGGGTATATGGAACCAATACGATTACAGGCATTGTATTGAACTTTCTTGTATTGAAGTTGGTTGCAGGTAAGTTCATCGACTGCAGGAGCCACCTACCATACGATACTGTTATGTTAGTTCGTTGGTCACTTTAGTTTGATACAAAAAGCAGGTCCGCGTGGAATGCAGTGTATGTTTACAAAATTTGAAGCAGGCTAGGCTCTGGTGCATTTAAAACTTAACAACAAATGAACCTTGAATTTACCAACCAGAAACGAAGCGCCTGTCGACGGTTCTATGCTGAATGTACTACTAAATGCTAGTGTTCACTGCTGTAAACAAGAAGCGGCCAAATACGGCGCTGTGTGGACTACTGCTTTACCATGACATGCCCGAGTACTTGGCACACAAAGTTAGGAACTTACTGGAGAGCACATCGGATAATCTAAGTATTGGTTCCCCCTACTAATACTACGAAGTCACACTTGTCTTTAGTATTTTAAAAAAATAGCAAAAAAGGGTATAGTTTGCATTGCCGGAAGATGTACTATCATTGTTTGAGGAGGCTGTAGAAGAGCCGGATTTGGAAAAGTGTTTCGAAAATTCGTTCAGAGATATGAAACTTAGTAAAGACGCTGGTGAAGAGTTCTTTAAAAAAATTAATAATAAAAACTTTAACCATATAACTCTCACCCCCCTCTAGTTATTATGTAATACTTGAATGGCCCCTTTCCCTTTCCCAAAACTTTCTGAGTATCCTAGCCTACGCACTGTAAAACTGCGCCGTACTTACATCGCCTTCGCCAAGAACTTAGGCTACGTTCTGCTAAAGTTCTGATTTCCTCAGATTACGGTGATGTCATATAGCAGTCGCAATGCAGCGGGATCGCAAAAATACGCCCGTCTTTAAGGTGACAAGCACGTGGAAAGTTCCGTCACCGCTACGTATTTAATACATAAAATTTCACGGCATTCATGAACAAAATTCTGTTTTTAGCCAGTTTTCTTCTTCATGGGCCAGTAAAAGTCATTATATTGAATTATTTAATAAAATTTAAATAAATAACATTTGATAGGAACATCAAAGAATTTATATTATTATGTTAAGACATTTTTAGATGATATACCTCATGTTCAACCAAGGAGTCTACTTTGTTAGTTACCACCCTTTACCAACATTTGCGCACAAGCAGCAGTGCGCGCACTGCATGCGATGCTGTGCTCTATTCTGAAGGGTTTAGAGATGACAGCGCATCTGTAGCCTTCTTTACTTGAAGTTGGTTGCGTGTTCATGGGTTTCGGTGACCGCTTACCATGAGGTAAACTGTAAGTTCAGTGTCACTTCAATTTTAGAACGCTTGGTAATTGGAACGGTGACCGCAGCACTATTAAACTGCTCTGATTATTTTACTTCTGGCGCAAATGGGATGGTAAAAACACCTTTCAGCGGAAGTCATGTGGTTTTGCTAGCATTTCTCATAGGCATCTATTACGAAAACCACGAGATAAAGTGCGAAAAAGTATTCTCTTAACACCGTCACCACACTTATAAAAATAATAAAGCTATTAGGTAAACGATAATTGCAACAGGGATAGAAATCTGAGTGCGTTCAAGTTCCTAGTAAAACTTCATCTTGAATATAAAAGGTAGCCAGACAGGATATGAGTTTTTTTTTAAATAAGAAAAGCGTGACAAGCGAGCACACAGTTCACCTGATGGTAAGTGGTTGCTGTGGCCTATAGACATCTACATCTAACCTCGTTTGCGAATCAAAATGCAGATGCGTTGCCAACCTTGAGGACTAAGGTTTGTGAAAAGGGTCTCCGGTTCTCTACACTCGCCATACGAAACACAGCAGCATTAAGCTGCTATTTGACGCTGGTATTCTGTAAGAGCGTAGTCCTTCCACGGTCGAGCCGACCCAGTCGTGCTACGACTACACAATTAATATAGCTGCAGTGTGGCTCTACCACGTAAAAAACTTGTATCACAGAGTTGCTTTTAGGCCCCGGGGGATTCTTCTAGTCGCCATCACACTACGAATCTTACTGTAAAGCCGGGTTTACATTTTGTGAAGTCACAAGAGCGAGTGGTAAGTGCAACTGACAAATGACAAGTGCCTAGTGCGTAATTTATTCACACTTATCACTTGTCACTCCCTGTTCACACGCATTAAGCACTTGTCATATGTCTTTTGCACTTGCCACTCGCACTTGTCACTGCTCAGAATATAAACCGGGCCTAATGGCCGCCAAAATATTGAAAATGAAAATGATTTATTGATTTACAATGATACATTTTAAACCAGTACCCTGTACTAGGTTGGGAACCTTTATTACTGGGTACCCCGCTCATCCACCAAGACAATACAATGTTAATCAATAAATAACAATTTACTTGTCAATCCATATATTTATTTTTGTAAAATCATTTAGTATCATTTTAAAACGTTATCCTACACTAGGATTTTCTACTCTATCGTGGGGGCAGTTTACATACACAAATTTCACATGGACAAAATCGCATATCCGGAATAATTAGTTGTAGGCTATACAAATACTTTATACGTGCGGAATTCGTACCCGCGGCTTTCGGCGACGTAACTCATTGCTAAGTTATTACGCCAGGGAGCCGTCAAAAAGTTTTTATTATTTCACTATTTGTCTGTCTATCAAAACAAAATGATAATTTAACATAAAACTGTACAAGAAAGAGCAATCTTACAGGGAAACTTGAATTGAAATTTGAAAGCCATACGAATAATTTTTGCTTGCGGGAATCAAAAACGCAGAAAGCAGTGTTATCAGCACCAACATCATCGAAACCAGCGAGGTACGCTATCGAACAGTCCTATTTGTTCAATCGACTGAACTGCTATTGCAGGATTTAAACAGGATATACAGCAAACCGAAATGGCAATTCTCACATGCTTTGTAGAAAATATTATAGCTTATGGGAACCTATGAAATAAAACTAACATTAATTAAAAGTTGAAGATAGCCTTCGTTAACTATGACATCACGACGTCAAACACCTAAGTCCCTGTGTGCTAAGTAAGCTGTGTGAAATGCCCGAAACGATGATAATTAAAAAGGTTAATTGATAAAGGCGATAAAATTCGTAAAATTACCTTCATGTGTAGAATTCGCATAAATATAAGAAATCATTAAAGGGAACCTGTCTTTATCTGTAGACTTTACTTCTGTGCGTTAGTTTTTTCTATTATCCACTTAAATCTTAGCATTCGTATTTAACGGTAGCAAATAATGTAAAAGAAAAAACTTACATCTTTAGACGTAATATTTATTTGAAGAATAATAACAATAACAACACACAATTAGAAATTATTTCGTGAAATGATTCGGAACTTAACCTAAATGAATTTGCAATTAATTGTATTTTCGAGGACATACCATACTAACATTTTATACAACGAATCTATGGAGTATAGAGGTAAGGAGAACAATCTCTCATAGGAGAATAGTTGAAAAAGTGTCCATCTGTAAGCAATAAATAACAGTTCAAAAACTCTCCAAGACAGCGCTGGAGTAGCTACAGGAAACAGCTACATGAAATGAACTTAGCAATTGTCGACGGTGTGAAGTGTGCTGCTAAACTGATCAGTTGCTCTAAAATCTAAAATAATTTTATTTAGTAAATATAACCTCGAAAAAGTCGTCTATCCCACTAATATTTTTCGGCGCGTTCTTTAAAATTTACCCCGTAGCTATAGTGGTGCCACCCTTAATCAACGGTTTTCTACGGACACCCTTTTAATACGCAGTCTATACTCCTTACCTATACACTCCATAAACGAATCGATGTCTAAAAATTGCAATGCATGACACAGTTGAAATATGTACGGATAAAGCCTCATTAGAAACCGTGCAGCGTAGTGTAAATAAACATTTCTTGGTTCCCCTTTTTTTTTTTTTTTTTTTTTTTTTTTATATTTTTTTTTTTTTTTTTTTTTTTTTTTTTTTAAATAATAAAATATAATATATATTTTTTTTTTTTTTTTATTGTTATTTTTTATTTTTTTGTGCCGGGAAAGGTTTCTTGTTCTTATTTGAGGTTCGCTGCCAACGGAGGTGACTGACAAACCGTCCAAAAGGAGTAATCAACCCCGCTACGATGCGTAGTATACTCTAGTAGTCTGTGCCGCTACGTAACACGCACCGCCGCACGCTTTCCGCTGAGGCTTTAGCCATAATGTAATTTTTTCGACAAATCTAATCATACATATGGGCGTGAAATCATGATGCAATGTTACTAATCTCAAAGTAAACACAATTATTTTTGAATGAATTGTTTAGCTCTGGAATCTGTATAATGATGAAAGGTATTTTAAATGACAGAAATACTATTTCCGTCCAGTCTTATTTTGAACCCAAACTACTATCTATTTTTGTTATTATATCTATGAAAGCAAAACAAAATTGATTTCAATGGTGGGATAATTTTATAAGTATTATAAAAATGTATAAAGGCAGATATAAAGAATATAAGAATATAGAAAAATGTACTAGAAAGATATCTTAAATTCGGCATAATGTATAAATACATAATACAATTATGTTGCATACTATGCACTTATGTATATCTATTCGTATTACCTAGCAAAAATATAGAGGTATGCCTTCATTGAATCTTCGTTTGTACGCTGCAATTTATCTCTACAAATATTTACCATAAATAAAATTATAACTTAATAGTAAATAATTATGAATAAAATGTAAAATAATAATAGATAATAAAACTTAGTTAATTTCAGTTTCACCCGTCCATTGGCGGCCCTGATCCTGTTTCGGTTGCTCTTGGTAAGGTTGATAAGAATAACTTGGTTGTAGATTTTCGGTTTCTACCAACTTGACCGGTTCTGTCGGTTCTGGACTGTCTTCTATGGTGTCGTCCTTCTTGTAAGGAATACTATCATCATCCGAGTTCACCTTAAATGATTCATCTGGATCGATCGATCTAGTTCTGGAAAAATATGCAAATTTCAACTACAGTATTATATAGATATATATTTAAAATTTAATGGTATGAGAAAAAGGCCAAAAGTTATATTTAAGTACTGGGATACTATGTTGTTATACTATTATATATTATTATACATTGTTATATATATTGTTATACTATATTATTTTATATTGTATAATAATCATCATCATCTCATTCAGAAAGCTCGGCTTTATAGGTGTCAAATATTATTACGGCTACCGTCAATTCTCCTAAGCGTAGCTATTACGGTCTACAATCGTGATTAATAAGTATGGGAATTGCTTAATAGCTAAGTGAGCCAGTAGGGGACTGTTTACGTCTTGAAAGTAAAGGAGTGAAAATTCTCTTTCATATACAAATGACAAAAAAAAAACGAATTCACCAGCTGTGTGAATGTGTAACCTAGTCGGAATCGCTTGCTGGTGGGTACTACTTCCCAATGTTATGTTTTTATTTATAATATTTTGTAACATAGCTTAAGATATTAAGAAAATCATCGGCATATGCCTGCCGTAGGTTAGTGATGATTAAACATCGGCTTATAATCGATACCGATTCAATACAACAAAACCGAAACTCAAATATGGAAACGAAATTAACCACGATACCCACCAGAGTTACACAATCGAAACGTAGAAATATTTAACTGGGTTTGCGGCTCTTGGTTTTAGCCCATCTGAGCCTATCATTTCTTTCGGAATCTTCATTTTATATTTTTTTCTTCACAATGGGTGCGTTTGGCAGAAAAAAGCGCTAGCAAGCGCTTATAAGTATTATAAGCGCTGAAATAGTTTTCGGCCAGGACACGATTGCTACTTCAGTAGCGCTGACACAATCCGCCATTTTGCTTATTTAATTTGTTTGTTTTGAAGTAGAGTTTATAAGTTATTTTGTGCAATATTAGTTTTAAGTAATATAATGACATGAATAAACATATACATGATATTAAAATTCATGATTGGTAAGTTTTTAATATGAATACTTTACAAACATATATTTAAATTAGGTTAGGTTCCCCGGTTAAAACTAACATCGTGTCCTGGAGGAAAATAGCTACTTACGATTTGACAGCGCTTACCGCTTACGATCGCCATTTTGCTTACAAGCGCTTGCTAGCGCTTTTTTCTGCCAAACGCACCCAATATGCTGATGCGTCACATTGCGAAGCCCTTGGGAGATTTTGACGACAGCTCAACCCAGCGGACAGTTGATGACGACAGCGACTCAAGTTCAGAAGGCGCCCAAGCGATCAAAATAACTTGAGGTTTATATCGACATCAAAGCACTTGTTTCGTCGTTTTCTCTAATAGTCCACACGCGCGGACACTTAATTCACAAAATCGCATCACTTTTACGAATCAAAATCCACTTCAAACCATTATTTAGGCGACAAAACAGGAGCGACAATCCGTCTACGGCCAGGTTCCCGCCAAAACTCTCTCAAAATATTCAATAACTTCATGTGATTTGATTAAATAATTAATTAAATGTCATCTTACTTTACGTTTAAGTAGTCATTTTCCTCTTTTTCTTCTTCCTTTTTTCTCTTGAAGATACGCCAGCCCACGCAGATGAGCAAAATAACTATCGGTAATATTACCGCACTAATAATACCCCAGGTTGCTCCGAGAGTTCGCGAAGAATACTCTTGTCTGCCTGTATATGAAGGAAATATATTAGCATCAATCACAAATTAAAAATAGAATCACTTTTCTTTTTTTTTGCTTATGGTCATTGCTTCCAATTCCAGTTGGAACTAATGTTTGTTGTTGTTGTTAAATTAATGGTTTTTACGTCTCGTTCTATCCGAGATTATCCGTCAGTACGTCTCCCTGGCACTCTATCTGGCCTACCTTCGATCCGAAGCTTTGAGTATGGATAGGTTTGGACTAGTGAGGACAGACAGTGAGCGATTGAAAGAAATGTACATGTTGCACTATTAATCCTACATTGTTGTTAATCGTAAAGGGTATATATTTATATATATATATATATATATATATATATATATATATATATATTTTTTTTTAATAATAATGTCCTCCAGATCGAATTTTGATCACGGCGGCCAGTCTCCACGGAGACAAGCCATCTGCCCAGGACAGGATTATAGTGTCCTAGTGTTTGCGTAAGCACAGATGCACTTCTATTCCCTCAATATCACAGTCCGATGGGACGGTAAACCGACACAACCGGAGAGAGATCAGGCGCAGAACCAACGGCTTTACATGCTTTTCGAGGCACGGGGATGGGACACCGCCACCTTCCTGACTCCAGGCTGCTACTGAGTATTTCCTGTCAGAAAAACCCAATAACTGATTTAGATCTGACCCATGACTCGATCCCGGAACCTCAAGAACATCAATCGTGTTTACGAGACCTATACCATATTAACTAAATATATGTATCCTTTATGACTGACAGCAAGTTTTAAAAGTTTCCTCTTTGAATGCATATGATTCATTTACGTTAACAATTTTAGGAGATATAGGATGTTATGGGTTATGTAAATTTTTTCTCTAATTATTTATACCTCACCTACGAAGAAGATACACGGCATTTATACACGGTTCAGCAAAAGATCACCACCGCTCATGAACATGTGCATCGCGAGAGGAGTTGCAAGTGTGTTGCGGGCCTTTTAGGAAAGTGTAGGCATTTTTCTTGAGCATCCATAATTCATATTAGTTCGGAAAAAAATGCTGGCGATAATATATCCCTTAATATGGTCGTACAAGGCAGAAATACCCAAGGAAAACGCATGGCGATGGACTATCTGATAATCATTGACATGATGTTGATGGATTTTTTTTATATTACTACCCTAATGATAGTCGGACCAGAGTCGAGCGACCGACTAATGACAAACTGTACAGACTGGTAATGGAGAGAATCATTACCAGTGATGGGGTATAGACTCTACGGTCATGTTCACGCATAATCACGCTTCGTTTGCCCAGCAGGTCTTCCTGAATAACTTATACCAACTTGAACTTTTTTAAAAGGTGGGATATAGAGCTGTGAGGTTAATATGGCTGATAATGTGATGCGTGGTAAATTTTTATTATATCATCCTTTATTCCATGCGACTTGTTCTTTTACATATCTGTGTATTATTTTCTTGAGTTTATAAATGGACTTGACATTTCTCCTAGTCATTATTTCCTAGGAATGTTTAACATTAAAAATTGAATTACGGATTTTATGGCGTTTAATTTTATAATCTACTTCTATCTACTTTATAATCTAATCTAATCTACTTTATAATCTAATCTAAGTGATTTAACGCACGGGTGTTTTCTGGATCTCGACAACAGTGTTACCCAGCGGGTCCAATTGTCAATTTAAAGAAACTTTAGGAGGTTTAATTTAAACTATCCAGGGACCTATCCAAGGACCTTCTCTAACGCACACTAAAAATTTCATCAGTCGATCAATTTCTTAAACCTATCTACCCGTTTAGGATTATATTTTTAGATAAATACGTATATTTCTATATTTCCGATTTTGACAAATATTCTTTTAAAAGTGTATAACTTTGCACGTGTAATACAAATATTTTTATCACCTCTTATTATATTTAACTCTGCCGTTCATTTCTGCAAGATAACTTTACTTTGTCACTCTTTCATCATACATTCTTTCTACATGACCAAACTACCGAAGCATTCCTCTCTTAATCCTAGTCACAACATCATCTTGCATACCACACTCTTCTCTTATTACACAATTTCTCACCCTGTCACTCAGATTCAGCCCTAACATACTCCTTAACGACCGCATTTCTACTGCGTTTTTTCTACTCTCGTGCTTCTTCTGCCATACAAAACTTTCATTACCATACTTTAAGTAGGGACTAACACAGCCTTTTGGCACATTGTGAATTTCCACAATAGATTGTGCCCCATTTACTCTATTTCCTGCGTTAACTCGTCGTTTTATATCATTATCATATCTCCCATCCCTGCTAAATACGCAGCCCAAATATACAAACTCATATACTGGCTCAACCAAAAAGGAATAAAAAGGATACTAGTTACTATAGTAAAGATTAGCTAAATAAAAAGCTATCTATTTATATTTCGAGACAAGTAAACGTAGTAGATAATATTGTAAACTGATAAATGGTACCATCTATCAAGATCTACGTTAACAGTTTATCTATGACAAATAAGATTTTGGTACTCACCTATTGGATGCAGTGACCCGAATTTTTGTGTGTACAGTGCGATAAGAAAGCAAGCGATAACGTCAATTTAGGTTAGGGTAAAAATAGAAATAAAACACGATCGAGAAAATTTCTATTCCAAGAAAACTTCAACATTATAACTTGCTTTCTTATACTTTTAAAAAATCTAATGACAATAAAATCGTTGGGAAGTTACTCTACCGTACTTCGGAACAGAAATTTCCTCTCGCTGTGATTATTTAAACTTTATATAATTTTATTTATACTCCATTTACAACTAGTTTAAAACAGAATTTATTGAAAAAAAAAACATCAATAGTAAACATCACAAACACGTCTCTTTAGTATTAAAATTAATTTGGTGTATAATTATTTTCTCATGAAACTTAATATCAAGTATGTAAGTAAAAGCTTAAACTATAGATTGTCAAGGTTGAAGGCAGTACTTATGAATATTTCTTTTAATTTCAGTGGGATATTTCAAATTCTAAATATATAAGAGAGTTGATGGTAAAAAATTACACCATAGTCGATCGGCTGCTAAAAGTCGGTACTTCAGCAACTGGTGGATCAATTAGAGTCTCTACCGATTTGCCCTTTTTAGGAGGCATAGTGAATGTTTTTATTTCAGAGGGTGGTGCACTTTTTGGAGCTTCTGGTAAACCAGGGTTGTTATAAGTATTTCGCGGGCTTAAGTCAGAAGTGGGACTGATCGGTGGTGAGTAAATTTCCGAGTAAGTGGGCGAATAATGAGACGGAATGGGGCTATATTGGCCCTCGTATTTAGGTGTATAGGGATCTTCAGAACCATCTTTCGTGGAATAACCAGAATCACTAGGAATAGGGTGGCGTCCCGTCTGACGGGGCTTGCTCACGTATTCTATGTCTTTAGCTGGACGGGTTAGTGTCGAGTCACGATTAGATTCAGAGTCTGAAGGAGATGTTATTGAAAGCAAGTCTTCCTCGGATAAATCCCAAGGTTTGTCTGGGAATTCAACGTCGGGTGCGTTAGGTAAAGGCTCGTTAGTGCGGTAGGTTTTGTCGTAACCGCGACGCTTTTTGGATGATGAGGATTTATCTGATTTTCCGGATTCACTTTTATTAGAATCCGTATAGCCTAAACCTGAGCTTTCCCCGTCAGTTGGTGGAGGTGGCGCGGATCTGGCAACATTTGCCTCAATCGGCGTTTCCTCAGTAGGAGTGACAGGTAATTTAGATTTTTCGTCGGAGTATTGGCTACGCAAAGTGGATGATTTCATCGTATCTGTGATGTTTCCCATTGAAGATGATCTTAGATTTAGTCGAGAGGCGGATTTCGATCGTGGAATGTTCTCGAAGCGGAATCCTTCTTTGCCTTCGGATTTCGGTTTGTAGCAACACCAAAACCAGATCAGACAAATTAGGAGGCCTAATGGTACAATAACTGCCACGATGATGCCCCAAGTCAAGAATAGAGCGCGTTGTGAGTACTCTTGGTTACCTGAATGAAGAATATTTATTGTTATTTGACAATGCCGTGAACGTGTTGTAGGTAAAGGAACTACTTTTCTTATATAATACCCCTCAAAAGTGTAAAAATGTATTTTTAAGTCATTATTTTGGCATATTATGAAATCAAACAACTATCATTAAATTGAACGTTAAAATCTTGGCATGTTACTCTGTGAAAATTTATGAAAAATGTTCAAAACACCAACTGGACTTCAAAATTTTCATTGAAATGATGTAATATCGCTTGTGATATATTATAATGTCAGCGATTGAAAGGTCGAATCATTGTACACTAATTTTGATAGTGATTTTTTAATTTAGAAAAGTGATCTGTATTCACGCGATACAAAGCTCATATTTCAGTGTTTTGTTTTCAGTCGAGTTGGTGTTGCATCGTTACACAGTGTGATGTATTTTAATTATGGTTATTTACAAGCTAGTTTGTACCTGTAAGTAGAATTCGCCTAATTTAAAACTGCACATGCAGCCTTGTGTTTTTGTTAGATTATATACATTTATAATGTGAAACATAGTCTAAGTCACAATAGAAAATGTGCGCAGATTCAGATTTTATGATACTTATAACGGTAAAATCTAAATTATCTATTACGAGATATTACAGATGCGGCCGATTTCACTTTATTGTAGTTAACTTTTTGACTCTGTACTGGAATCGTAAAACTATGTAAATATTTATAGTTACGATCAGCTTGTTAAAATGCAAACTTTGCAATAAAGTGCAGATAATGTAAGAAAAGGAATAATTTGATGAAATCATTTACTGAACAATTGTGGAAGTGAGTGGAAATGTGAATAAGAAAAAACAAATATATTGGTGACTTACGGAGGCACTCTGTGTATCCGTAGTCAGGCAGATTCCATCGACCGTCGTCTTCACACACGCGTCGTTTGTCACCGATCAGGATGAAGTCTTGGTTGCATTCGAAATTGACCTAGAATTATTTAAAATATATAAAGTAATAAGCAATGAAAACGTTTTGAAATAATTGAAGGCCCTAATGGAGCGAGATACATCTTCCTCATCAGACCAAAAACAGTCTACCGCTGGATATAGATCCCTCTATAGTAAGAGGGGTGATTTGACGCAATAGCCATCTTGGTTGAAAGGCGGCTTGCCTAGTTCTGTCAAGATCACATTGGACATGAGCCTGTTAAGATATTGGGTGGAGAATCGTTTACCTATATATTTTTGCACCTTTTCTATAGAATAAAGGTAACAAACGAGCACACAGTCAGCCTGATGGTAAATGGATCCTGTGGCTCATAGACATCTACATTTATCCTCAATTAAGAATTAAAACGCAGATGCGCTGTCACCCTAGAGGACTGAGATGGAATGCCTCAGTTTCAGTAAAAAAGGTCTCTGGTTCTCTATAATCATCATACGAAACCGCTGGTATTCTGTGAGAGCGTGGCCCTACCCCAGTCGAGCCGACCCATTCGTGCTCCAACCATAGTTTAGCTGCAGCGTATCTCTACCACGAATAAAAACCCTAATGGAATTTTGATTTCTTAAATTTACGCGAAGACAACACATTGAACAAAACTCTATTTACGTATTTTGTTTTTTTTTTTTTTTATAGAATAGTGAGGCAAGGAGAAACGTATCGCGTTTAATTAACTTTTGTTACATTACTTGGAGGAGGCCTATGTTCAGCAGTGGACTTGTGAAGGGCTGTAATGATGATGATAATGATGATGAATTAACAATTTAACTTATTTTTAATTCCCGACGTTTCGGGTGCTTTACACCATCCATGGTCACGGGGGGGGGGGACTGAGCTGTTTGATGTTCCAATGTCATAGTTAGCCCTCATTTTGTGTTCTCGTGTTGCGAGTACGAGGTTAACCTTCAGTTTTGTAGCTCGTTCTGCGTAGATCGGACCAAAAATTTATATTCAAAAACTAAAGTTAGCCGCGCTAACTTTGACTTTGGGACGTCATACATCACAGTCCCCCCGTGACCATGGGTGCTGTAAAGCACCCGAAACGTCGAGAATTAAAAATAAGTTAAATAGTTAATTAAACGCGATAAAATCCGTAAATAGAGTTTTATTCAATTTAATGGAATTACCGATTATATTCAACACTGCTTTTCGTTTACTAGATCAATTACAGCTATATTACAGGGTCTAGATATTATTACCGATATAGTTACTTTGAGATTTTTCAAGCATTTCTATGGGAGAATGCAATCATTCATAACAGCGTATCAAAAATTTCACTACTGATTATAAATTATTTCATAATTTACCATAGTTGTCACACTTGGCAGGTGGTTTGGCCAGCGCAGTTTTTTTATTTTTGATTCCAAACTATCGTTAAAGTTACAGAATGCATAGTAGTTTCAAAGCTGGGTACAGGCTAACTCATATCTTACAGGGTTATGGAGCAATTACTCCACCACTTCAGTGTGGGTTGGCGGACTTTAAATTCCCTCGTAATATTTCTATTTCAGGTTTTATTCATTCGTTTATCATAGGTTTCCTCACGAAGTTTTGCTTCACCGCTAAGCACGTGGTAAATCTTTTGTGCTGGCGTGGCTTGGTAGGTTACCTTTCAAGCGTTACGCTACTGAGCTATCACGACTTTAAAATTTTAAATTACTTAAAAGCCATCGATAAAGGTATGCTCATATAATGTTGAGTCGCTTATGCACAAAGAGCGTTTCATATTTCACATTTAATGCAGTGTTTTACAAAAATGTCAATGTCTTACTTTTATAACACCAAAGTGATAAAAGAACTTACAATCCACCTGATGGTAAGTGCCTACTGCAGCTCCTGGACATCTGCAGCGAAACAAACAAGGTTGCATATGCATTGTCACCTCTAAGGACTAAGATGAAATGCCACACTGCATGTAATACATGCACTTTATACCCTTCAGAACACAGCACTGCAAGCACTGCTTTTTGGCAACAGAATTAAGTATAAGAGTGGTATATCACAACACAACTCCAAGAGAAATAAGTCCCACTGCCTTGTTAATGTCTGTTGATATTAGATGTAATAATATTAAAATATGATAATAATTAAATTAATTGAATCGATTTTCGTACTTACTCTAGTTCCGGGCGTGAAGAAGAAGTTGCTCTTTCTCCCGAAACGAGGAGTCTCCAAAATTCCGCAGCTGATGACGCGTCGAGCGTTTTGTTCTTTAATGTTAGTCTTAAAAGAAACAAAATTTACGTTTATTGTTTTGTACAAATAAAAAATAAAGTACCTATATATTTTTAATTTTAGTATATTTTTAATTTTATTTTAATTCAGTCGGCAACGACGTTTAATGTTGAGGTAACGTGAAAATTTTTATCTATCTACGTGACAATCGAGTTGCAACTGCGCGTTTTTCGCAGCATATCCTATGGTGTGGAAGACCTTGGCCTGTGCATTATAATTATAAGAACAATGGAAAGATGACAAGACAGATCCAAACGGATGCAGCGTGCGGCTTCTGATTAAAGTTTATATTTACTATTAGAATATGCAAGCTTATGATTTTTGCAATAACCTCAAAAGATCCTCTTTCAATCCCGCCAGGCTAGCAATTTGCCAATATTTGTGCAAATTGCAAAAACACAAATCTGTGATTTGAGGGTTAGTTGAGATGACTTTTTTTAACAATATGGCCCTTCTATTGTGGTTATGTCACAATAATTCTGCCAATGTCCAGTCTTTGGTTTGTCACACCTTGTCTTGAGGTTTCTCGGTGGGAAAGGAGTTGGTGGTTATTAAGTGACAAAGTAGCTAAGAACAAAACACAACTAAATACACAAGTTATGGACAACACAATGTAGAACAAACATTTAGTTATAGGAGGGAAATAGCCTGAGCGGGGAATAGAGAATTAGGTTAAACTAAAGTTAGAATATTATATTTTAATACATACAGTATTACATACGTTACAGCATTACGTACACATAGTTGTAGTTTAGTATTATACATTTAAATATATTTTGAGATCATATCGACATATATGGAAACAGGGATAGTTAAGAGGGTATTCACATTCACCGGTTGAGTGATTGTTTTCGGAAGGATGTCATGTAAAGAAATTGGGTGATTTTGACAATGGAAAAAAATGTGGTCTGGAGTACCTTCATCCAGACCACTTTCACAGAGATCTTCGATTGTAATTTTAGCTAGAAAAACTGGAGTGCAGACATGCTCGAGCTTTAAACGGCAGATTGTAGATGTGACTTGCTTGTTTAAGAAACTAAATTTAAAAAACCAAGGTTTTGGTGGAATTTGGGGTTGGATTTTACCAAAGTGACGACCTTTAACATATCTGGAGATACTCCATTCTCTGTCCCAAGATCAATTTGTGCTAATGATATTAGATCTTGAGAGTAATTCATTAAATGAGAAGGGCAGCCTGTATCTACAACTCCTGTGGCCCAGGAATCAGCCTGTTCATTTCCCTCTATGCCACAATCACTAGGAATCCACACAATCTCTACCTTAAGCCCACACTTATCACAATTTAGTAGTAGTAGTAGAATTTTGGATAAATTGCTCTGTAAGGACATTAGGCGACTTTTTGAATCAGTAAATATAAGTGAATTAGGAATTTTATTGGAAAGAATATAGGATATAGCCTCATAAATGGAGTTGACTTTATATCATCGTTAATTCTAATATAAAAATTTATTTTCAACCGACTTAAAAAAAGAAGCCTTTGAATTCGACTGTATGTTTTTAATTTTTTTTATATGTAAGTTATAGATCACATTCATCAACGCTGAACCAATGTTGATGATTATTTTTTTATTAAAGTGACTACACCTCAAGGGTAGGGCCATTCAAATTTGAAGAGATAAAGTCCCTGTGAAAAAATAGTTTGTTAATAATTGTTTAGACGACATTCTAGTTGCATACAAACTTGAGATATTTATAAGTCTACTCAAAAGGGTCAAACAATTAAGCTGTTTATAAAAACCTTTAATTTTTATAAAACTATCTTATCACTGAATTTAGAAAGTATCATGTGGAAACGACTTTATTCTTTTCAGTTCTTTGAAGTCGATTTTTGCTTTTTATTAAAGGATTCGCCCCGGCTTCGCACGTTTGATTTCTAGATCTCAATAACAGCGCCACCTACCAGTTTCAAATATGAATCTAAGCCATCTAGGGACCCATTCAAACATACACAGAAAAAATTCATTAAAATCGGTCGAGTCGTTTTTGAGTATTAGCGAGACTAAGGGGCAACAATTGATTTTTAAATATAGAATTATTAATTTAAACATTTCTGTTAGCAGCAATAATTGTATGAAGTCAACTTGTATTATGTACTAACTCATATTATAGAAATTTCTTTCATAGTGTGTACGATCTTTTTATATCAATTGGGTTTATGTAGAAATATAATTAAAAATTAAGCTACGAAATTTTGAGGAGTTAACATTATATGAATAGAGATAATATAGTTGTAATTAAAATTCAAAGCTTAAATAAATTTCATAAAAAATAAAAATATAAATTTCTTCGCTAATAGCGGTCAGCCGCCGTAGAGTCTACATTACCTGAGGATGCCTCGTGTAGAGGCGAAACACGTGTCGTATTATCGTCGATGGTGTGTCTTACCTGGAATAGTGGTGTTGGGAGTAGTGGTGCTGGGACTAGTGGTGACGGAGTTAGTGCATGCAATTGAGGGAGGGCGGGAAGTGCTCTTCAATCCAGGTAAGACACATCATTGTATTTATTTAGCGGAAGGTTGCGAAGAAATTTATATTTTTATTTTTTATTATAATGGAATTCCGCAAAGTAACGCCTGATTCTATCAATTAAATAAATTTCATTACAGTATTGGCACCACCCTAAATATAGTTTTTTTTGTTAGATAAAGTTTGTTAAAATAAATTTTATTACATGTATGATCTTAACCTTGACCTAAACAAATCTCCGGGTGACAATGACCGAAGCACCATAATCATCATTCAATTGCCACTGCATTGTAATGTAATGCGTACAATAAGGCATATTGTGGGAACCCTCTATGTTGTCATGAGTAATATGAGAAAATGTTTTTGATGTCTGAGATGTCATGACTAGCTAAGTAATATATATGTGTTACCACTTTTTGAAATTTAATTTTATTAGTACCTTAATTTTGACGAATTTTATCTAGCGCTGGATGAAGTGATAATTGAGTCGGCATTACTACGAGTGAATAACAATTATAAAATGATAATTAACTTAAAACAAATTTTGAGGTCTAATTAATGAACTTTTTTTAGTTATAATTTTAATTAATTTTGAATATTGAACTTTAATAATTTTATAAATTTTACTAAATCTTTTTTTTTTCAATTTATTTACACATCTCAAGATACAGAAACAGTCTAAAAGTGATTTCGTACAAAGGTTATACTTATTCCATAATTTGCTGAAATTCCTTTAGACCCATACAGTGCTTCGTGCATACATTACTACTACTAATAAATAAATAATATACAAAATGTTACGTAAATTATATTAAATTATACTATAAATAAAAATAAATAAATAAATACAAAAAATAATAAATACGATAGTTACATATGATACATATAAACGAATACTAATATAATAGAATTATATATGTATATTAATGAGGATGCAAAGAAGTTATTACAATATTTAATATTTGTCAAAAATATTGGCTATGATATTTACATGCACTAAAGCTGGACTTTTTAGTAGTCTGAGAGTTCATGTCGCATTTTTCATGCAACATGAAACTTTGTCGAAAAGTATCAGTTCACTCAATAAGCAGGTATATAACTGTCTGCCTGGCCTACATGGGTACACCAGGTACTGCGCGTACAAGTAACTGGCAAAAACATCGCCCAAAATAGTGTTTGATTGAAATGATAAAAATGACTATCTATCAGCTAAGTTCATAAGGAATTAAGAAAAAAATGGCACACACTTCTGAAGAGGTTGATATAGGGGCAAACTACCCTAAAGTCGTATTTTCAAAAAATCCAAAACAAATTGTTTATTATATATAATAAAAATTCTCACAAAAGGACAGACAGTTTCTCCGGGGGTTTATAAATTAAAGATATTTAAATATATCTTGCGTGGACAGGAGACAAATATGCAACGAGTCGTAATGAGTGCGACAGAGAGCTGAAAAGTACTTTTCTTGGTGATACAATTATTAATTTAAATTAAAAAATCGAGGATAATGCTGTGGCCCCGATAGTTAATGACAATTTATCATGGGGAAGCCATGAAAAAGCGCATAGTAAAATTATTAATCATGTTTGCCAACTGGAATTGGATTCTGCTGCCAATACACTCATCAAAACATGTGATAAATATGTATTAATTAATGTGCTGGGGATTATGGACCATTTAAAAAGTAATAACATGAATATTTATACGGAATATGGAGCTGCAAACAAGAAACGCGTCATCAACATCACTTCATTACACTCTTTTTTCAGACAACTCTTTGTACAGGTCTGCCAGGATTTCACGCTGTGAAAGGATGCGAAATTATTAAAAACAATGCGGATTATCAAAAGACACCGACGGACACTACAAATTACGGTTTACCTGGACTTCACTATGAAAATTGAAAAAATTATGCATCAAACACTTCATGAAAATGCGTCATAAGCTCTCGGACTATAAGGTGTTCTTATAATAAACAAAAATTTATAATTTAAGCATGAACAAAATTGCAACAGTTAATTTAACTCTCTGGTGATACAGAATCATCGCATTGCGCAGTCGCGAATTGTCGATATTCCTTTCTCATTCGCACACTATTTACATTTCATTTATTATGGTAATATAGTATTTGATAGATACGCAAAGCAGGCGGATTGGCTTACTCACTCAGTCCACACGTTAGTTTTTTCACGGACTAGATTTTTTTGCAGTCACACACTAGATTTTTGCATCTTTGACAATGTTCCCCGTCGCCGTTTTGAGTATTTACATCTATCATATACGAGATCGTATCAATAGAAGGCCACGAGGTATATCTTCTGCAGGTGTCAACGGACTGCTATTAACCGTGTAGTGGTCAACGCACCTGCCAATCGTGGCAACCACGTAGAAATACAAAGCAAATACACTTTGTATTTGCTGCGTGGTGGCAACTATGCAAGAATCCCCCTATGAGGCAATCTATGGGGGAGACCCATGGACCCACTTACCATTAAGTGGACCGCAAGTAGATTTGTATAAAAAAGAATATACTTACAAGTGAAGCCAGATAATTCTTCGTGAACTCCGCCATATCTCTATTTAGTGTCATACCGTAGTCGTATCGACACTGATATGAGTCCTGGCAAATTTCTATGGCTCGCGTCACGTCGAATGATCTATTCGCTGGCAAGAAGTCCGCCGGCTCTCGTATAAAGTTCGGAATAAACTGATCGTCATTGTAGTACGCTGCCGTCCGACCGTATTCCCTTACGAACATCGCCACGCCTATATCTCTTTGCTCCCGGTCAGTCAGTTGCCCTAAAAGAAAAAAATTGTTTTAACACGAGGGCATCTGTGACTTTTTCTGCCTCCAGGGCGGCGGCACTTAGTAATGAGGTTAAATATTTGATAGATTTTACAGCGGTAGAAATAAATTTGTAAAAAAAAAATAACTGCACCATCGTCTCTATCCTTTGACGCTGGGTCTCTGTAGCCGGTATTTCAAGCATGACACAAAGATTATGGTAAAATTTCCATCTATCTATCACCATTTTGTTTAAGGGTGACTAACGAGCACACAGTCCACCTCATGGTAAGTGGATGCTGTGTTTTTTATAGAATAATGGTGACATACGAGCACACAGTCCGCCTGATGGTAAGTGGTTGCTGTGGTCCATAGACATCTACATTTATCTTCAATTAAGAATCAAAATGCAGATGCGTTGCTAGCCCTGAGAAATGAGATGGAATGGCTCGTTTCCAGTAAAAAGGGTCTCCGGTTCTCTACACTCACCATACGAAAAACAGCAGCATTAAGCTGCTATTTTACGCTGGTATTCTGTGAGAGCGTGGTGATTCCCCGGTCAAGCCGATACATTCGTGATACAACCATAATATAGCTGCAGTATATCACTTATTTCTACCGCAGTTTTTATTTCAGCCTGGACTACGTACTTTCAAAATAAACCCATATATTTCCATAATAGAAGAAAAGGCGTAGAAACTTACAATACTGAGCGAAATCTCTATGAGCTGACTGGAAGTTATTGACATCGATATTGACAATTGTTCCATCCGGACGCATGAAGTCATCATTCATGTCTAGAGACCAGTTGCCGAACAAGCCTCTAGTTTGATTCTGTAAATTTAATAAAGCCATTTCAGTATCATTACAAATCCACTGCTGAACCTTAGTCTCCCTCAAGGACTGTCACAAAACCGCCATCTGCATCCATCAACTTCACTTCGAAATCTGCTGGTACACAAACATCAAAAATACAAAATCTTCTTTTTTCATAAGTAGTCGATTTTCAAGCATTATGATCAGCTTTTTGCTAGTTTTAATTACTGATCCGTTGGGATATAGGAGTTAGTTTCGTTGCGATTTTGTCGAAAAGGTAACTTCGTAAACGCTGCACAGTTGAGTTGGATTCGTTGATTGACTACTTTGTCCAGGTAGAACTTACTTAGTTGATTGATACAAACATTTTCAACATGATCTACGATATGTTAATGTTCAACTTTAGAGCAACCATCGAGAGTTACTAATTAGATCATAGGGCTAAAGTTTTAGAGTAATTCTGTCACAATGGATATAGCTTTGGAAAATCGAATATAAGTTTTTATTCACCATAAAATTTGATACTTGATCTGTCCAGTTCGGTAAATTGAAAATCTTAAACTTTTGTCCTACTATATTCGCCTTATTTGAAAATAATAATAACATCAATGCATGATACTATTGTTTGTAAGTGGCCTTAGTCTCAATGAGTGAATTCCTTCTTTTTTATAACAACCTATAAAAGTCCACGGCTGAACGTACATTGGCGTCCGCAAAGATTGGTATGTGGATTTACAGTTTTTATTATTTTGAGTTGTTTTTAGGAAGATGCTGCTCATCTCTTGTCCCAATTTCCCTCTGTCGCCTCTTACGATACCCACGGCAGGACTTGGGGTAATGGATGAATTATGAGTGGTTGAATTCTTATTACAGTATTATCACTTGTACCACTGTGGTGACATTTGGTTTTTATTTTGCGTGTGCTTAAGGAAACAAATATTTGCACCAACAAAGTACTATAAAATCTGGATAAAACAATCTTATTTACCATGTAATTCCATGGAAGGTACACTCTGGCCGTCATAAAACCTTTGTTTTCTACTACTTCTATACCGGCACCCGATGAAAACATTATAACAATTTCCGATTGATTTAGAATATACATTGGCTGGTAAACAGTGACACCTGTAAAAAAATAATAAACTGTATAACTATTGTCATAGAGCTACAGTTGAATAATGGTTAATTAAAAGTTGATTGCAGGTACAACTCGCGGCACGAAAGTCTAGCGGTGACCGTTATTGCGCATAATTGGCTATATTGCGCATTATTACGTATGATTGGCTGTGCGTATCCTTCATCTGCGCTGATTGGCTCTCCAGTCGTATTCCGTGACCCGTACTGATCGTCGTCATTCGCAGATAGCTGAGAATGATACATTTCGTTCAGCGCTAGAGTTACGTGCCGCGAGTTATATCCATGGGCTGCAATAGCCAATTACCATCAGTTAAACTGTTAATTCCAACAAATCAAACATTAATAGAAAAAACTACGTGATGAAATTGACATATTTGCAGACAGTATGACACGTCTGCTGACACTTTTTTATAAAATTACCGACGATGATAAGACAATTAATAAATCGGCAATTTAATTTGTTTGACTATGTACTATTTATTAGTTTGTATTTAAGTTATACTCTGTGTTAACACTGGTAAGGGTTTTTATTTTTTTTTACAGTACCTATATGCTGCAGAACTAAATCCGATAGCTAGTTTTGATATATGGGGGAGCCATTGAAACTTTGCATCCAGTGTGATTCCAAAAAAAATGGTGGTACAAGACTCAGTTCTTTCCCATTTAAAATTACATTAGTATTAACATAATATATTATCTGCAAGTCTGTTTTATTTATGATGGTAAAAGAGCGAGTACTATATCTTTTTGTGGCTTACCGAAAGCTCTAAGGAAAGCGAGCTTTCATCAGTACGCTCAAAATCACCACTTGGTCTCAAACTCAATTTCATCAGTTGGAGTGACGCGTTCAATTACTTACGAATCACCACAATCACAAGCGGATACATAGGATAATTTTTAAAGGAAATTCCTTATAAACCCTTGGTTGTATGTTAGTACCAGTTTAAAATAAGTAAACAACTTACCAGGGAAATATTGTACTCTAAGAGATGTACGATCAAAGTAGATTCGTTTGTTGTCAGCGAAGACGTCGAGTCTGTACCGCCATTGGGCATGCTGAGGCCGCAGTCGAACCTGTTCATATAATACAAATATACAACTTATTTAAGAAAGAAAATACAGAATAAGAATATAGTGAAAAAATAAAAAAAAATAGGCGAAAGGAAGAATCGCAGTTTAAACTGCTAAAATTCTTTTTATACTCGTATCGTAAGCAGCGCTAGTTTTAAGCAACTTTAAAGTCAAAATTAATTAAAGATTCTTAAGTGGGCAGCTTCGTACCAGTAAGCGCAGTGTAAGTATGGCCCCGCATTAAATAAAGGGACGACCTGGTAAGACATGTAGGAAGTGGAGTTGCAGCTGGTTCCTTGGAGGAGGCTTATGTTCAACAGTGGACTGGTAAAGTCATTGAATTGAAGAGAGTCCATCAAGATGCTCCAATACTCTAACCACAATTTACCGTGTAGTGGCGATGAAAGAATATCCACTACCCCTTATTGTCCCTTGGTTGATAGAGGAGGCAAAATCAGGAAATGAGCAGAAGTCTTCCAAATAATAACCAAAAATGAAAACTGCGATCTCCACCAAATGAATCTAGGTGGAGGCCTATGTTCAGGAGTGGACTTGAAAGGCAAAGCTAGTTTGCTAATATGATGATGGTAAACCACAATTATGGACTTACCTCAATCGCAACGGAGTTGTTGGATGCGGCAACTACCGATGTTAAGTGTGTGGCATTGACCGGACCGTAAATGTTCCTGGACACTTGCTCGAACCGTCCTTGTACATCGAGCTTCAAATGCGGGTGGTCCACTCGCACGAGTACGTATTCACCTTTGATGGAAATTACAATGGAAATTAATATTATTGATGTTTCCTTTGTATTTGGTAGCGCCACATTGCAGCTTATAGTGACTACAGGGTTGACTTGACGTAGGAAGGATCACGCTTGCGCAGAATAGCAGCACAATCCTGCTCTTTCGCATGGTGAGTAATGGGAGCTTGAAATCCTTTTTAAAGGGTAAGAGGTATTCGATCTTATTACTCAGGAGTAACAAGGCATCTGCATTATGATTCTCCTTCTAGTACTCATACCATCAGATAAGCTCGAAAAGCTTATCAACTTTATTTTTGTAAAAATGCTTATAGTAGTATACATAGTTATTTTGCATCATATTTTTGTAGTTAAAATCATCATATTCTTCATCAGTTATTGTTTGAATGAACCTTTCTGAATTTTTTTTATAGTATAGGGGTGACAAACGAGCACACAGTCCACCTGATGGTAATTGGATGCTGTGGCTCATAGACATCTACATTTTTAACCTTGCTTAAGAATCAAAATGCAGATGCGTTGTCATCCTTGAGGACTAAGATGGAATGCCTCGATTCCAGTAAAACGTGTCTCCGGTTTTTTACACTCGTGAGGAAACCTGCATGTCTAAGGAATAAGAGAAAAAAAATATTTCGAAGACATGTGAAGTTCGCCAACACGCATTGGGGCAGCGCGGCGGACACTTCCTTGCCCTAAAACCCTCTCAGAATTGAGGGGAGGCCTGTGCCCAGCAGTGGGACGTATGTAGGCTGTAACTTTACTTTAGTTTACTTTATTATGTGAGAGCGTGGGCCTTCCCCGGTCGAACCGACCCATTCATCCTACAACCATAATAGCCGCAGCGTGGCTCTATCACGTTGTACCACGTTGTTGACCAAAAGCTTCTTTCAGATAGATGTGTGTTCTCAGAACAGAAGAATTGCATCTTTGGTGCGGTGTGATATCCCGTAAGTATTTAGGTACGCAATAATTGGGTTTACCGTGTGTGGAAGGTTTCAAATTTCTGTTTTTATCCTAATAACTAGTAAAAGTATTCGATATTGATGACGTCCATGTAGTTAAAACCAGCAAGGATAATATTTTTATCAATATCAAACAGAATTTCAAATAGTTTAGTATACAATAAATATATTGTGCTTTACCTTTGCCGTTGAATGTATACTGCAGGTCATCAAAGGTTATAATATGTGGATCGCCAAATATTCCCGCCACTCCTGGAGATTGGTAAGCGACACAATCTTGTGAAGGCCGCCGTTCAAATCTGTAAGAAATTTGTCACATCATGTTATTTTCTACTCGTTAATAATGCCAATACTTTCCAACTGTTGCATGTGGTCCGAGAGCTCACGACACATTTTTCATGAAGTGTTTGATGCAACATGAAACTTTGATGAAAAGTATCAGTCCACTCAATAAGCAGATATATGACTGTTTGCCTGGCCTCTACACCTGGCACTGCGCATTCAGGTAAGTTGCAAAAATATTCGCCCAAAATAGTGTTTGATTGAAATAATATGACTATCCGTCAGCTAAGTTGATAAAGAATTAAGAAAAAAATGGGAGACACTTCTAAAGGGGTTGACATAGGTGCAAACTACTCCAAAGTCGTACTTTTAAATATATAAAAAAAACGAAAATTAACAAAATATGTATATATCTAAATATTTGCAATAGATATTTTTTACTGTCAGAATTTATTTTCAATGTAACCAATGAGATAATAAAAAAATCTCACTTGTATCGACCCGACAATTCATTGATTTATCTTAATGCGACAATTATTTCCTTATTACCATTAGCTGTAATTTTATTGTTGTGCATTTAAGTGAAGTTAATTTTTATCTACTTCTTGAAGTTTTCATCTAATAAAATATATATATTAACAAATATATTTTATAATGATTCCTTATATTTACGCGAACACTACACATTGATTAAAACTACTTTTACGGATTTTATCGCGTTTAATTTAAAATATTTTTAGTTCCTGACGTTATATGGTAATAAGATCCGTAAAAGTAGTATTATTTAATTAATATATTTTAAGTATAAAAATGATATAAAAGTCATGTGTAATATCATGCCTATGCATATCTTATTTAGCAAATGTAACAGCTGTACAAGATCACGTGATCCGCTGTCAGTCGCTCCCTTTCGCACTTATTACGACCTGTAGCACATTTGTCTCCTGTTCACGCAAGATTTATTTAAATGTTTTAAATTATTAACCCCCGAGGAAACTGTCCGCGGAGAATTTACTACACGCTGTAAAAATGAGAGATAAAACAAACACTTTTTTTGGAATATTTGAAAATACGACTTTTGGGACTGAGTCAACTTAGCTGAAGGATAGTCATTATTATTAATATTTCAATCAAACACTTTTTTTTCTGGTGAACTTTTTTGTGACTTACCTATATGCGTAATACTAGGTGTATCCAGGTAGGTCAGGCAAGACGAAGTTTCATATGCCTGTTTATTGAGTGGACTAATACTTTTCAACAATGTGTCGTGAATCATGATGCATCAAACACTTCATGCAAAAATGCGTCATGAACACTCGGACCAAAATTACGTTACGTTAATTACAGTTGTATAAATAGGTACGTTTTGAAATTTTGATGTATAACATACTGGCCGAGAAGAAATTGCACGGTATGTAGAAAAGAAAAAAAATACAGATGCTATCGGTTGCGTTACCTACCTAATATTTCAATATCGTTTTAAGTTACGCAAACTCTTTAAAATAAAAACGCAACCAAATATTTTAGAAATAACGCAAACTCAACATTTAACATAAATTTCAATTACCGATTAATCATTCTATCAAGTCCGAAGTTTTATTGAAGTCCTAACACCAACTATTTGAACGGTTTTCACGCAATATTTAAAACTCATTGGGCATGACTTACCTGAAGGTCTCACAACCTACGGCTTGTTCCTCTTGCCACATACAGCATTGATAGAAGGGTATCATGTCGTGGAACCAGTGGGATAAAGATGGTACCTAAAAATTGTATTCAAATAAATGACTTTGTAATATGATTGAATTTTGATACAAACACCAAGGAATAAAGAATTAAAGAACAAACCTTATTGGCTTCATTATAAGGTGTAAATCCGAAGTCATGAGATCGTTGTGGACGCGAACCCCACATTTGGTCGTATGACAACATAAGGAAACCATTCTTATCATAGCAACACTGTTGACCCGAACCTTCCGAACTGAGAAAAAAGAAAAGTTTTTTTTTTAAATTTAGTTTACGTTTTAAGGTAAAAGTTACGACACAATACATGTTAGTTTTAATATTAGGAGAGGAAGAGCCGTTTGAGCCGTTCGTCGTATTATCTTGTTAAAAATGTACCAATTTCAATAATAAATTAGGAATCGTCCAAAGGATAAGTGAAAACATTTGGTCAAATGTTGAGAACCAAAAATTAAAAAAATCAGAAGTGACATCCGTTACACGTATCATTGAGTTGAAATCACGTTTAGGTAAACGCAAAGTGAGATGCTTCATAGATAATTGGATTGACGATTTGCGCAAGGCAACTGGATGCGGGAAGCCGAAGATCGGTTTAAGGGGAAATATAACCTCAAATAGCTTAGCAAGATCCTCCGTTATGCCGAAAATATTGCAGCATTAATTTTGAAATAAATATATGGTAAAGTTGAGGATTAATGTTAAGGTTTATGTTAGACGAAAACACGATTCCGTAAAATTTTCTCGATAGAAAAAAAATCCAAAGTTACCTCCAAACTGAACAATAAACCGCTGCTATTCATAAAATACTTTAAATAAGATCATGAAACTTTGCATACTAACTGAACTAACTATAAAGCAGTGCTTATGTTATTTACTTTTTTTAAATACCATTATTTTCACTGTAAAAAGAAATTACCTAAACTATCGGCCTTTTGAAGCGTGATTCCTGCCGTGCCGCACGGTCACTTCGCTTCGGCCTTTGAACGGGGAGATTGTGTCGCTTACGATCAGAATATACATTACGCAACAGGACGACGTAAAATTAAAATGGGAAAAAACCGTAATAAAAATAAGAAGCGACTGGCTTGGCGTTAAGAAACAGTTATAAATATGATAAACCTAATGAAATAAGTGTCTAACGACCTTTCTACTTAGAGTATTAGTGATTACAAACATGTCGGTACATAGCATACGACGCGCGGGGGAAGTGGGGGCGAAATTAGAATTTGAGCTGACTTACTCTCACCTCTTAACTGGCACGATTTCAGCTGTATTCAAGAAGCCGATTAGGTTAAGTGGCAGGTCTTGGGAGAAGTCTATGCATGGCAGTAGCCTAGTTAAGTCTGATGATGATAATGATGATTACCCACTCACCTGACATGCTAAAAGACGCAACTCAAAACATTAAGTTTTTAAGCTTTTTTGGCTACTATTTATTAGAATTAGTAACTTACCTGGGGGCACCACTTCTGACACAATGCACTCCTCCCCAGTGATATCTACAGGTTGGATTTGTATCTTTGTCACAAGCCAAATCAGGCATAAATCGTCCCTTGTCTAAGAGGGCATGCTCAAGTGTGCAAGGACAGATCCAGACTTGTGAAGCGAAGTTCTTGAGGAAACGGTCCGTTCGGAGCCAGTTGTTACACATGGTCTGGGGCCAACGTTGACCGTGCAGTCTTTCCCATTGTTTATCAAAGTACCAACCGAGAGGTATGGGTCGACTCCACAAAATCCTGAAAAACAGTTTCATCAAAGGATAACGTAATTTAGCAATTAGATTTAAAAAAAACATGGGTTATTTTAAATAGTGTGATATTGTGAATTATGCGACAGCGGTCTATTCACCTGTTCAACGAGGGTTATGCCAAAAGAAATATTAGAATAGAATACACAAAATTATAATATTTATTATGTTACTAAGTAAAATCGTATCTTTTCGTACCACTTAAACATAACCTAGGACCACCATTCTTCAAACACCAGAGAAATCTGTTAACTATAATTATGTATTTTCATGCATTCAAACTAATTGTCTTTTCATTTTTATTTTTTTTGCTGGGTTAAGGAAATATTGCAGCTAAGGTAGGTAGTATGGGATAGGTTAATTCTTGAGGCTTTAAGCCTTTTAATAAATACAGTAAATCGGAGAGCGAAAATTATGTTAACTGAACTCCATTAGCTTTGCTACGAACGAATTCGCGGTATACTCTCACAAAAAATGTATTTTCCAAAAAAAAAATATTTGAAATGCAGTGTTTTATTTCTAAATTGCCAGTATCAAATAACTGAGTAAAAATATCTAACTTCTTTTGGCATGACATAATTACATTATGATTAACAGTTTTCCTGTCCGCGATATAGATACAATACAATACAAACAATAGTTAAACAATCGAAATGTTCATAATGTACCTACATTCTTTTGTATACTGGTTTAAGTAATTAAATGTGCAGGAAATATTAATATACTCCCACAAGGATATTCACTATCACAATAGATTGATTCACTCATTCTAACTACTCATTTACTCGTTTCCAATGTAATCATTGTGTAAAAAATAAGACCAAGTTTATCGACCTAATTGGCGATATTTTGGAAATGGTCCACCTTAGGAGTAACCCTTAACCGCGAACGTGTATACGTAGACAATATATGGATGTAAAGGAGGCGAAATAGCTATGTCAGGATCGCGTCAAATGGAAGTCCGTACGAGGACAAGAAATATAATCAGATCCGAAAACCACCTATTTGTGTTTTTACACAAAAACTCTGGCTAGAGTTCGAATCTTGAATTTGCTGAAAGAACGGAAGGTGCTCTTAAAACTAGGTAAGACACATCATTTTATTTTATGTGCGAGGGAATTCTTACCAACTTTAGTATAAGGGATTTCCGCAAAGTAACGCCAGATTCTATTAATTATCATTTCCTTAATTAAGTAGATATTATTTATCTTTATACCTGTCCCTTTCGTTTATCATTTAGTGAAAAGAGTGAGAGAACAACTATTTCATACATTGAAGTCGATTTTCTAAGGCCATTTATATCTAAAATTTTAGGTGACCGATGTCTAATGGTTTAGAATACGGACTGTGAAACTTTTTTTTATAGGATAAGGGTGGCAAACGAACACACAATCCATTTGATAGCAAGTGGATACTGTGGTCCATAGACATCTACATTTAACCTGGATTAAGAATCAAAATGCAGATGAGTTGTCACCCTTGCGGACTAATATGGAATGCCTCGATTCCAGTAAATCGGGTCTCCGGTTCTCTACACTCACCATACGAAACACAGCAGAATTAAGATGCTATTTTACGCTTGTATTCTGTGAGAGCGTGGTTCTGCCCCAGTCGAGCCGACCCATACATACTACAGCCATAATAGCTGCAGCGTGGCTCTACCACGTATATAAAAAAGGTTGTGGGTACAAAGAATATACCTTTCGACTGTTTGTTGAGAACTACTCCTGGGGTGATAAATAGTGTTGATATGCCATTAATACTACGTAGTAGTAATTATAATACTAGTGTGATACTAGTAAAAATATTATTCATTTTTCAGAATTTTTATTTTATTAATTAATAATATTTGCTTGTACAGATACTTACGGTGAAACAGTAACTCCCTTATATGTTTCCTGCGTGGTCAAGTTAATCTGAATGAATCCGAACTGCATATCATTGTGCATAATATTCTCTCTGTTTCGGAAATTCTCTGGGTTTATTATGTATTCACCGGTGTTGGCAACGCCTGTCTCTATCATGTCAATATATTCAAGTTGCGGCCTGATTGTGATCTCTTTGTAACCCCAAAGGCTAATTTGTAGCTGGACGTTGAGATTTGTGGTCAAGTTAAAACGATCCCAAGTCATTCTTATTTCGCGAGGGCTGCGTTCGTGTATTGAATTATCGGGGAAGAATATTTTCTCAGTAGCTGTCGCTGGTGTTTCTGTAAATATGAATTTAGCTCTGTTGACACTAACTTTTTTGCAGAACAAGAGTGACAAAGGAGCACTGAGTCCACTAGATGTAGTAAGTGGATGCGGTGGCCCATATACTTTTACGTGCCGTTACGTTTATCTTCGATTGAGAATCAAAATTTAAATGCGTTGTGACCCGTGATGACTAAGACGACATACATCATTTCCAGTGAATAGGGTATAGTGAGAGTTAGTCCTTCATGTCGAGACGACCCATTCGTGCCACAACCGCTGCAACATGGCTCTACTATGTTTATAATGATTGTAACCGAGGGGTACCAAATCCACTGCACAATTAACTTACCTACAAAGAATTTCCCTTTCCATTTATACGGTTCGTTATTGATAGCTATTTCAAATCTAGCATAACCGTTGTGCCAGAAGCGAGGCTGCACACAGATAGCCCTGTTGACGTCGACCACAGCTCCGATGACGGACTCAGTGTCAAAACGGCACGTGATCCTGTCGTTAGGGTTGAAACAAGGGCCAGTGATGTTGACGATTGTGCCACCGAGCATGTTGCCACTCTCCGGAGCGAACATAAGCGGAAGATTTGATCCATCTGAAATATAAAAAAATCGTGTCAATGGCTGCGTTTGGCAGAAAAAAGCTCTAGCAAGCGCTTGTAAGCAAAATGGCGAAACTAAACAGTTTTCGGTCAGGACACGTTTGTTAACTTCAGTAGCGCTGACACAATCCGCCATTTTGCTTATTTAAATTGTTTGTTTTAAAGTTGTTTTGTGCAATATTAGTTTCAAGTAATATAATGACATGAATAAACATATTATACATGTTATTAAAATTCATGATTCGTAAGTTTTAATATGAATACTTTACGAACATATATTTAAATTAGGTTAGGTTCCCCAGTTAAAGGTAACTTCGTGTCCTAGAGGAAAATAGCTACTTACGATTTGACAGCGCTTACCGCTTACGATCGCCATTTTGCTTACGAGCGCTTGCTAGCGTTTTTTTCTGCCAAACGCAGCCAATGTTAACTAACGTAAGTTACTAATATATCACAAAACACAAACATAATTACTTATAATGATTTCTTATGTTTACGCGAACATTACACATTTAAATAAAACTAGTTCTTACGAATTATATCGCGTATATTAACTTATTTTATATTCCCGACGTTTCGAGTACTTTACATCACCCATGGTTACGGGGGGACTGAGGTGTTCGACAACGACATTCCAATGTCATAGTTAACCACGGCTACCTCCAGATTAAAATTATTATTATTTTCTTTTTTTGCTCCGATCTACGCAGTATGAACTTATAGTATCTTGAAGTCTTGCAGTTGCGTGCTACCATCTGCTTGGGATCCTATAATTAATAAAATTAAATCCTAACCCAAACACACATCAATCACATTGGTACGTCCAACACCACAGTCGGTGATCGTCAGACCGTGACCATACGTGCTGTAAAGTGATCGAAACGTCGGGAATATAAAATAAGTTAATATACGGGATAAAATCCATAAAAACCAGTTTTATTATATAATTAATTATGTCAAGTATAAGGTTGTACACGAAGTAAGTCGAATAATGGATTCCTAAGCAGCTAATTCTAAAGTAAATTGGTAAATTGGTAATTACAGCAATAATAATTCTATCATAGTTGCTGTAATTAAATAAATTGCTGCAGTTATTTGCTTCTTGTTGTGCAAATTTTTTATAGTTTCCCGAATTAGAGCATAATAAAAAAGAGTAGCTACAACATTACCGTTATCGCAGTACAGCCTATCAAAAGTCGATTGCTGTTCATGGGCCTCCCCTATAGATTGCCTCATAAGGCGTATACTTACTATAGTTGTCACGCTTGACATGCGGGTTGACAGCTTTTTATTCATTAGTTATTAAGTAATGGACGTGATGTAGAATGCGTCAAAAGGGCACGTATGACAGTTCACAGTGCTATGTTAGTCGCTACTTTAATGTATGGTAGTGAAAATTGGGTGTAGCAGAAGAAGCACGAGAATAGAATAAATGCTGTAGAAATGTGGTCGTTAAGGAGTATATTGTGCGAAATTGTGTGATAAGAGAAGAGTGTTGAGAAAGGAATGCTTCGGTGGTTTGGTCATATAGAAAGAATTGATGGTAATGGAATGGACATGGAGTTTGTAAGTAATGGACACTGCTGCTCGTCTTAATTGAATGACTTAAGTGAAAGTGTACAGATTAACAATAAATAATCTTTACGATGCCGCCGAAAACCACTGACAAGGCCGCTAAGAAGTCTGGCAAGGCTCAGAAAAACATCTCCAAGTCCGATAAGAAGAAGAAGAAGCACAAGAGGAAGGAGAGTTACGCAATCTACATCTACAAAGTGTTCAAGTAGGTGCATCCCGATACTGGTATATCCAGTAAATCGATGTCCATAATGAACTTGTCAGTTCTAAGTTTTCTCTCTGTTGCCTCTTACGAATTTAGTAGTGGATATTCTTACACCGCCAATAAACGGTTAAAAAAATTAAAAAGAAAGGATCATGGTGACCATGGGTGCTGGAAAGCACCCGAAACATCGGGAATTAAAAAAAATACGTGTGGCACTCGGTGACTGCCGCGGTAAAGCTATTGCATAGCATTTTTTATCAACTTATGCAATTATAATTATTTATTTATTTTATTTATGCAGTTAAGTGTTTGATATTAAATCAAGTTACACTTTTTGAGCGTGGTGACCGATAAGAAAACAATTTTTTTTCTCTTATTGAATAAATGAGAAGTTAATATTGTTTAAAATATTTTTAATATCTTACAATACATGTAGGTTATTCAAGAATTTTTATCATTGAGTTAGCAGCTAGTGTACACGCATACGTCTAGTCGCACGCACACAAACACCGTGCCGAAGTCTGCCGAACTGAAACGACGTTAGACGATGCACGGCTTTCAACGCCACACCTCCGTGCCCGTCGGAGTGGGGAGCGTGAGGTTTTTTCGTTACGGAATTTCTGGATTCGTTCCCCGCGCTCAAGGCCAACGATAGAAGCTATGCAATAGCTTAAAAAATAATTAAAATTATAATTAAATGGGATAAAATCCGTAAAAGTAGGTTTAATCAATGTGTAGTGTTCGCGTAAATATAAGAAATCATTATAAAAAGAAAGGACTAGCAATAGGCAACTTTGAAAATAATTTGTTTCTTGATATAAAATACATTTAATTTTGTTACAAATGTAGAAAGAGACAAATAAAATGGAGAAAATAATCAAATAGGCCTCAAAATATTCAATATATACGACGTAACGATCAAAATGAATCTGAAATAAATTGCAGAGAGTATATTATACGATAAGATGAAAAGTACAGTAGAAAAACTAAAAAAAAAAGTTACACTTTTGTGAATAAAATAACTATCTAATATAAACTCTTGAACGTTAATTTTATAAACGGAATAAAAAAATTGATTTTATCTTTTTTCTTAAAAATTTTTCTTTTTACAATCCGTGTAGAGTAAATACTAAATATATCTTCAACTTATCATAATGTGGAAGATTTATTTTTTCAACCTTGCCGAAACGGAAAATTCCGTATATGGCTTTTCTTCAAACATCTTAGTAGTTTCTACACAATAACTTTAGCGTTTTTGTCATTTTATTTAAAAACCACCGATAGTAACCGCAGTGATGCAAGACGTTTTTATACAAATCGAGGTTACGGTCGATTACTTGTGTTAACTGTCGAACATTTATTTAAATTGCAACATAAGCGATCTAAGCTAATAAAGAATAATTTACCATTCTGTTTAATAAATGCCGTTTAATATTTAACAATATAATAAATTATCAATAACATATCTGGCAAAGATAATGATTGATAAAACTAACCAATATCCTTATTGCACGTTCCCATAAGTATTTTTTCGTCGATCCTGAATATGTGTCTTCCAGGGAAACCGTTAGCCCATCCCCTTCCAGTAAGATCTCTGAGTACGGAAGCTTGAGAGTACGGCTTGTATTCGTAGCTTTGTGTACCGTTTCCAGCGTTGAAACCAATCTAAAAGGAAATCTTGAAGTGAGTTTATGACTAATATAGACAAATATAAATATAATCGAATATAAACGGATTTACTAGCACAAAACTGTGTTCTATCACAGACATGTATTTATTTTTATACTTTGTTGCAACGCAACTTCAACTAGGGGTCACAAGGGCGGATTTAATGCCCTATGGCATTCTCTACTATAGTCAACCCTACGAAATATGGAGTAAATAAAAATGTTGGCGGGTGCGAATTAAGGACAATAACAACAAAAAAACTATATTAATACATTTTGGGGTGTTTGTTTGGGGTATTTTTTGAAAATAGGTTGTTAGGGCTTTTCGGTGGTGGGGGGGTAAAAAAAAAAAGTGAAATGGTTTAATGCTCTAATCATAAAATCACTTAAAATTGCAATTAACAATTTCATTGTTGCCGGCGGGGCTCGAACCCGGGTTACTCGCGTTCTGTTATCTGGGGGCACGGCAGTGCCCCCGCCAAGTCGAGCAAAAAAGCGGCACGGCCGTACCATCTTTTCTCGAAGCAATTCAGGCCATTTTCGACCCCCTATAACTTCGTGGTCAATAAAACTAGAAGCCTGAACTAAAAGAAACAGCAACCTAGTAAGCTTAGTATAGACATGGTATATTTCAAATTTCATTCAATTTGAACTAGGAGTTTAAGAATTGTAACCAGTCAAAGTTTCTTAATTTTGTCACTCACTGACTGACCGATCATCAAAACTCTAGGGCACTTCTAGCAAACGTAGAAGTTTCAATTTTAGAATACAATTAGTGTTTAGTATATAAATCAAGGAAAAACTAAAACATTTGTTAATTTCTGTCCAGTTTTTTAGATACACTAACTGCATAAATAACTTTGTAATCCCATATAGATATATAGAATTACAAAGTTACATTTGCAGTGAATGAATCAGTGTACTTGTATATGTACTACAGGTACAGGTAATAGGTACGTTGTTGTTACTCAAGAAGTAGAAGGTACCGGAAAGGTAAAAAAATTAGTACTATCTTACATACAAAAAGTAATGAGATACCATTAAAAACATAACCTGTAAAAAAAACCAAGTCTCGCAACTCAGTTCTTCTACCGTAAAAAGTTGTGAGATCCATGTGATACCAAGTCGGTTAATTTATTCAGTTCCTACTTAAGGGTCCTTCTGTTTTAGGTTATTACGTAATTAGCTAACCTAACAACATTTTATAGTGACCATATCAATTTTAAAATTCTTTTGTGTTTTAAATATGTAGATTGACTTGGCAATCGCATTAAGCAATCTAATTTAATATAATACGTATTACTTGTGAGATACATTGTGGTTTCATGCGATGGCCAAGTCAATCTATATATTTAAAACATAAAAGACTTTTAACATTGATATGGTCACTATAAAATGTTGTTAGGTTAGCTAATTACGTAATAACCTAAAACAGAAGGACCCTTAAGTAGGAACTGAATAAATTAACCGACTTGGTATTGGTAACAGACATGGATCTCACAACTTTTTACGGTAGAAGAACTGAGTTGCGAGACTAGGTTTTTTTACAGGTTATGTTTTTAATGGTATATTATTTACAGCGAACGTTAACCATCTGAGCTACCACGGCTATCTATGACTCTACCACGGTAGGTAATATATATATGTAATACACAAACAATATATACATACACATACCACACATCTAATTATAAAAGTACAATTTTCATAACAAGATAGTATTTGGTGAGCATCAGATTATTATTTAAACTATTTAGGTATTTTTACAATACATATTAATAATAATCAATCATAAATTGACTTATGGCGGGGATAAGGTTATCAGAAATATGTTGTTGCTCATATCCTGGTTCAGTTTTACACTATCGCCGTCGCCGTCTGACGCCGACTGACAAGAGCCACGGGATAATATGGAGTAGTATGTAGTGTATTGTCTTACGCCGCCACTGCACGCCGTTGCGCCTGTAGTATTTATAGCAGTTATTATCCTATACCTTTAAACGAGCAATTCTTATATATATATATATATAATCGGAATCTCGGAAACGGCTCCAACGATTTTCATAAAATTTAGTGTCCAGAGAGTTTCGGGGGGCAATAAATCGATCTAGCTAGGACTTATTTTTAGAAAATGTCCCTTTGTCCGTGTTTTCAGGCAATAAAAAAACTGCTACAATATAAGAAGGTAAATTTTGACAGGTTAGTAACTGTGATGGTAATAGCTCAGATGGGATGTTGTTCGGACGTGATATCGGTGTTCCGTGGTTCGCGTCCCGTCTTGAGTCCGAGTTTTTTTTCCTTCTTTTGTGAGAAAAATCTATTATTTCGAGCCCTTTTTTTAGTATTTTTTAAAAATACGAAAATTTTAATTAATCTAATTGCACTCATGATTTTTTATTCAAATAACCAGTTCAGTTTTTTCTATTATGTCATTAAGATCAAAAACTATTATTCATGTAATTTGTATATAAATGTAAAAAACCGAGCAAAGCTCGGTCATCCGGGTACTACTCATAAAGTCTACAAGTTGACTGCTATCTCAAACATACATAATTGACAAATACTGACCCACACCGAGAACAAGTGTTTCTAGGTCACACGAATATTTCCGTCAAACCCGTATTTATATTTGTTTCTAATGCAGTAGTTAATAGGTAGCTCAGATGGTTAGCGTTCGCTGTAAAGTCACATTACTCGAGCAACCCGGGTTCTATCCCCGCCGGCACAAATGAAATTGTTAATTGCAATTTTAAGTGCTTTTACCACGTGCTCGGTGGTTAAGGAAAATATCGTGAGAGTCTGAGTAATAAAATAATTCCTTCCGCATTCCTTGCCCTGAAACCCCCTCTCATTAATGAGAGGAGGCCTGTGCCTAGCGGTGGGACGTATATAGGCTGTAACTGTTTAACTTCTCATCCAGTAATTCTCGGTCTTTCTTTAACTTATTCCTGTTTTTTTTATTAACGAAAAAACATAACCTCCACACTAAGATTTTCTCCTGCATCGTCTGGACAGTTTACATACATAAATATCACAAGGAAACAATTATTTGTAGGCCATACGCGGTCTTTAGCACTGCAACTCACTGGTAAGCCACTGCGTCACGGAGCCATATTGTTAATTGATAGGTCTATATTTTTTTTAATTTTTATACTATAGGAACACTAACATATGCTGGCACTCCGCCTTCTCCTGTAGTAGTATCACCACCAGCCTCAGTGTGAGAGCTCCAGTTGATCTCGAGGTAGTTGAAAATCGCGTAAGTGAATACTTCATCAGTCGCCAGCACCATTTGGAAGGTATTTGTCTGAAAAATTTCCATTATGTACATACTTGTAACATTTTGTGAATTAAAACCAATTAAAACTCAATTTGGAAGCTATTTGTCTGAAAAAACGTTACATTGTGTACAAACTTGCAATATTTTGTTAATTAAAACTCAATGTGATTGCAGCTATGCTAAAGCCTGTAAAGTCCTAAAGCTTAGAAAACTTACATTCTCCCTAATATAATATCAGGATCACGAAATACAATCACGAGAATAAATACAATTAACCCAAAGTCCTAGTTTTTAGTCATCAATAAGTAACAATTTAATAGAGTCAGTTTTACTTTTTATTATTTAATCAAATTAAGGTTGCTTTAACGTTTATAGATTTTATTTCAAATTAGAAAAAATTTAATAGCTGATTTAGAATTTACAAAGAAAATGTTTTATTCTATTTGTTATTCTGCTCTGTAAAACTACTGCGTAAAGAAACTAAAAATATATGAACATACACAATTAGACGATAATAATCATCATACATTTATGTAAATTTCTTGTAGCGAATTCTGCTGACCTATTATAAAGAGAGAAAGACACAAATAAAACACGTAATTATAATTATTTAAAAATGAACTCGATAAATTTAATAAATATAACTGGCCATACATCTGAATGACAGTGAAATACTTAAAAACAAAATACGTTATCATACCACATATAGGGAGTTGTCTATGCCGCCGGCGAAAGACATATTCTTCCATGTAATGGTGACGGCGTGCTTGGGGAAGAACGTTTCAGAACCAATGACACCTTCGCGAATGTCCCAGGTCAGGCGCTCTCGCATTTCTACTCCCAGTTGATCTGTTCGGGTCTGTTAAAAACGATATTGTTATACAACGCAAAAACTTACACACTTTTTTTACATCGGATATTATTTTTGAATCCATGCACCAATTTTAACAACAAATTGTGCAAAGGCGTCTTTTTGAAGTGAAACTTCTTTAGCGACGTACGGGAGAAATTTAGTACAGTATTAAAAATAATATTAAGGGGAAATATAACCTCAAATGGCTTAGCAAGATCCTCCGTTATGCCGAAAGTATTGCAGCATTAATTTTGAAATAAATGTATGGTAAAGTTGAGGATTAATGTTAAGGTCTATGTTAAACGAAAACACGATTCCGTAAAATTTTCTCGATAGAAAAAAAATCCAAAGTTACCTCCAAACTGAACAATAAAGCGCTTATTTTATTCATAAATTACTTTAAATAAGATCATGAAACTTTGCATACTAACTGAACTAACTATAAAGCAGTGCTTATGTTATCTGTGCGTGTTGCCAGTGATGACTTACGGATCAGAGACGTGGTCCTTCACCGCTGGCCGTATGAGGACGCTCAAAGTCGCTCAGCGAGCTATGGAGAGGGCTATGTTCGGAGTTTCTCTGCGTGATAGACTCAGAAACGAGGATATCCGCAGTAGAACCAGAGTGACCGACATAGCCGAACGGATTAGTAAGCTGAAGTGGCAATGGGCCGGCCATATAGCTCGAAGAACCGATAACCGATGGGGAAGAAAGGTTCTCGAGTGGCAGCCTCGTACCGGTAGGCGTAGTGTAGGGCGACCCCCCACTAGATGGAGTGACGACCTGGTAAGACATGCAGGAAGTCGATGGATGCAGGTGGCTCAGGACCGTGCTTTGTGGCGCTACTTGGGGGAGGCCTATGTTCAGCAGTGGACTTGTGAAGGGCTGTAATGATGATGATGATGATGTTATTTACTTTTTTTTTTAAATTACCATTATTTTCGCTGTAAAAAGAAATTACCTAAACTATCGGCGTCTTGAAGCTTGATTCCTGTCGCCCCGTTAGTGTTTTCGCTTAGGCTTTTGAAGGGAGAAGTTGTGTCGCTTACGATCAGAATGCACATTACGCAATAGGACGACGTAAAATTAAAATGGGAAATAACCGTGATAAAAATAAGAAGCGACTGGGTTGGCGTTAAGAAACAGGCATAAATATGATAAACCTGATGAAATAAGTATCTAACGACCTATATATTTACAGTATTAGTGATTACAAACATGTCGGTACATAGCATACGATGCGCGGGGAAGTGGGGGCGAAATTAGAATTTGAGCTGACTTACTATATCCCCTTAAGTTTTCTTGTAACTTTACACCGTCGGGGCTTCATGAGTATACTGTTATTTAACCTACTCTTGTAGGTGTACACTACGCACAATATTTATTAAAAAATAATTACTTATGTAGCGTAAATGCAACGGTAATAGAAATATCTCCTGAATCCATCGAGACCTTCAATAGAAAAAGAAAAAGGAACTGCAAATGGCAGAAATGCAACCTACTGCGCTATTCAGCCATTCAATTAAGAAAATCGGTTACGGCTAACATTATAGCCTATCAAAAGTAGGTACTTTGTTGAACAAAGACCTCGCCCATAGCAATCTATGTTGGGGATATATCTCATAGTTCCTATCAGTTGTTATTATAACGGGACACTGCCAACTTTTTTTTTAATAGGAGAGGGGGCAAACTAGCATTGGCTTACCTGATGTTAAGTGACTACCGCCGCCCACGAGGGCGGCGAGCACTTAACATCAGGTTGCATATACGTTGCCTGCCTTTTAGAAAGGAGTAAGCTCTTTTTTGAAGTTGTTATCGGTCATTAGAGTGCCTAGTAAAACGTAGAGTGGGAGAGTATCGGTGAATTTTACCGCGATGTGCGTTCATGAAATTTGGTGGCTGGGATTAATCCGAACAAGTCCTCAGAGCACTCCCCGTGGAACTCCTGGTTTGTTCTCAGTTCCCACGGGACTATGTGGAGTAGTGGAAATTTTTGCCCTGCCACTTCACGATCAAATGAAGGAGAAATTTTTAAAAATTAAAAAAAAAGTAAATGCATAGCAGAAATTAAAAAATTATATGAAATATGACATGAATAATTGAACTCTAGCGTCGTTTTCAGATTGGATCTAAGAATTATTCATGAAACCTAAATTAAGAAACGTGCAGCGGTGCTGGGCGTTTTTTGCTGACTCCCCTAATTTTTTCATTATTATTAACAACTATTTTAGATTCGCTTTATATCTTATTTGATTACTCGTAACTTTGTATTACATACTTGTAAATCTCTGTCCATTCTAAAATAAACTCCTGGTCGCCTTTGGTCAGGGTCTTCGGGTCGCTGATTTCCGATGCGGCATTTGCTGAAGAAGATACCGATGAAAGACGGGTCGTTGACACTGGGCCAATCTCGAACAGGGAAGGAAAGTGGATACGTATAGTGGTCTGGTGGATCGCTGAAGTAAATGTAGCCGTTCATGGATAACTGTAATAATTAACATTAATATGTATAACTCGTCAGCTCAGATGAGTAATAAATATTGTTTTTATAGAAAAAAATACTCATATAGACTGAGATTTAATTTACATTGGAAATATGGTGTTTATGTAAATAATTACTACTCCTCGCCCATGTTGCGAATTGATGATGACGCACGATTTGGATGTGTATCTATGTGTAAGTGTGTGCGTGCGTGCGTGCCTGTGTGTGTGTGTGTGTGTGCGGGGTGTGTGTGTGTGTCAGTGTGTGTGCGCGCGTGTGTGGCCGCGTGTGTGTGTGTGCGTGTGTGTGCGTGTGTGTGCGTGTGTGTGTGTGTGTGTGTGTGCGTGTGTGTATGTGTGTGTTGGATTCCCTTACGCCACTTTGTGGTGATACACGGAAATTACTTCTGTCCTGAAAATGGCGTGAAAATCAATGAGAATTACTTAATGCAGCTTACTCTGGTATAATTAAATCTGAAGCCGAAGAACGGTAGTTGGAAATTGAAGTTCTTGTGGATCTGTGGTGTTGACGTGTGTATATCTCGCTGATAGTCACCGATATTGTCATTGCCTCCTTGATCATAGAACCAGTATAAAAAGTTTGCACGAATCTGCGTTAGCCTCTGTTGAGTGATTACGTAAGGCTGTCCGTTGTTCTGGTATGTCGTCGAAGGTAGAATTCGTCCATCGATGTGAGCTAAAAGAGGAAAAGGGATTTATTTCAAAAAACGCCTTTTCAAGCTTTTTCTAATGCGGTAGAGTCACGATACATTTTTGCATTAAGTTGAAGGGAAGAACAAACTTATAATCCACCTGATGATAAGTGGCTACTGCTACCTATAGACATGCAGCCAACTTTTAATTTCATTTTTTTATTTACGACTATTGAACAATGTCCCAAAAATTAAGTAAAACACAGTACTGTGGTGAGAATAGGTACCAAACAATTTTATTCGTCCAGACAACATGTAACACAGGTAAAACATTATATCGTGATACAGAAATGGCAATACGCCATCTAGCGCTGTTGCTTAGAAGTTATATACCTATATAACACAAACATTGTTCATGGTTATAAAAATAATTTATCGGGTCTTAACAACTATCCTTAGTTAAAAATCAAAATGCACATGCGTTATCACCTCTGAGGACTAAAATAGAATGTCTCTTTACCAGTAAAGAGGGTTTCGGGTTCTCGTCACTCACCATACGTAACACATAGCAAATAATATACACAAGAATTGTCTGAATACGTGCGTGAAAATATATAAGTACACAGTTCATCTGATGGTAAGTGGATACTGTGGTCCATAGACATCCACATTTATCCTCAATTAAGAATCAAAATGCATATGCGTTGTCACATACGAAACACAGCAGCATTACGCTGCTGTTTTATGCTGGTATTCTGTGAGGGCGTGGTCCTGCCCAGTCAAGCTGATCTATTCGTGGTACAACTACATATAATATAGCTGCAGCATGGCTCTACCAAATAAGAAACGTATGTACAAGTACATTTAAGACGCGGTTCATTTGTATCATGCGAGATTGAGTAGTACAACCAGTATAACTGCCGTAGAAAGTAGGACATTAAATTATATGTAAGACATCTACCCGCCCCGGCTTCCCTGGATTTAGAAAATAATCAAAAATAATTCATTTTATCAATTTTCCTTTTTTTTTGTAAACTAAGTTTCTCGGCTAAAATACAGCCATTTCGTAAAGTTTCATTACAATGGGTTTAGTCGTTGTGAAGATTAGCCTGGACAGTTAGACTGACAGACAGACGACGAAAGTATTAAAAATAATTTAATATTTGGTCAATATAATAAGGCTGATATTTCGAATTTATAATATATTATTATTAAGTCTACTATTATTGTCAGTAAAACACAACACGACTGCACTATCTATATAATTGTAGCCTCTTGCAAATTCTTGATACTGGCAAATAAAAATGTATGATTTATGCTGTTATTTCACGTTGGAATTTTGTGCAAACCTGGTCCTGCCTCAATCGAATAGATCTTTAGATTTAGATTTGTATGGAGCCATCACACGCTACAGTCCGGCTTTAACTCATCATATAAAAGAAACTATTAAAGAAGAGATAAAAAATTATTAAAAATTCGTCACCTCTTACGACACCCACGTAACGATATGGGTTAGTGGACATTCTTACACCGCCACTACACGGTTTTATAGGTGGTAGAGCCATGATGCAGTTATATTAGTAGTACAGTTGTAGCATGAATGGGTCAGCTCGACCGGGTAAGGACCACGCTTCCACAGAATACCAACACGTAAAATAGTAGCTCAATGCTGCTGTGTTTCGTATGGTGAGTGTAGAGAACAGGAGACACTTTTTACTGGAAACGAGTCATTCCATCTTAGTCCTTACGGGTGACGCTCCATTTTGGTTCGTAATCGAGAATAGATGTTGATGTCTATGGGCCGCAGCAACCACTTACCATCTGGTGGACTGTGTGCTGGTTTGTCACCCTATCCTATAAAACAAGCAGTGGACGTTTATAGGCTACAATGGATGGATGAATAGACGTCATTAATAAGCTGAACGTAAAATACATAGATCGGGTTCGTCGGGTGCGAGTGATCTGGTGTTGCTATCAATAATCCGTCTAGGTCTATCAAGCGTGTCGATTATAGAAAATCTTCTCTTCAATGAGAAAGGCCCATACATATCAGAAAACTGCTGCGATGAATAAGAAGAAGCAACGGCTTGGTAGCGCTGTGATCAAGAGTTTCGCTGCAGTGTTGCACAGTCATGGGTTCGGATCCGGCACGGAATAAGTGTTTGTGTGCCCTTCAAAGAATTGTACTGGTTCTGGATGTTTATTCATTTCCAATTTATGCATGTTAAGTATTGGAATGATGTTTTTTTTTTTAAAATAAATAAGTGAGCAACACTGGCCACTTGATCACGCGGTTGAAATTTTAAAAATAAATTACTTTATTAAAAGGCATACTCAGCTCCGATATATTACATTTTTCTATCTTTGGTGTGATAACAAGCTCACACTTTCATACGATATCGTCGCTTAGCATGGATAAATAACTATGTGCTATCAATAACATTATCAGTTTTATATCGTTCAGGCGTAAAGCATTCCTAGTATATTAAATGATGTCAGTACAACGCCCAATGTTTCCTTTGTTTTACTATCTTTATATTACTATATACAGTATTCAATACTACATATAATAAAAGAAAACTTAACTTAAACGCGTGTCTGCGTTTTTCTTGAAGTTAGGTAGAGCCATGCTGCAGCTATATTATGTTTCTAGCACGAATGGGTCGGATCGAACGGGTTAGGATCAAGCTGACCTTATTCCTCAGGAGTGACACCTAAAAAATTTGGCCCACCTTTCGTTGTGCTCTTTCTTTTAAAAAAACTTAGCGAGAAAAGAACCAGCCCCCTTATCGCCAACAAATAGCAAGTACAGTTCCTTTAGGAACTTTACCGCCTGTGGACTTGTCGGAATGATGTTCTCTACAGGAAAAGGCATTTATTTGTTTCATTTTTTTAAGTGAAAACGAAAACGCGGCCAGCATTCTTAGCACTATATTGTGAGGTGGTAAGCTGATAATTGTTGACTATATGATATTTTTATAATGTTATGTGAAATTCTTGTAAACAAAGTACGATATTGTAACATTTAATATAAAAATATAAAAAGGGAATAAAAACATCCAAATGTGATACATATTACAGACTATCTGGCCCGACTGACATTATTCTGCTCTCTCTGGTTGGTTACGATGTTTTTCACACGCACACACACACACACACACACACACACACACACACACACACACACACACATACACACACACACACACACACACACACACACACACACACACACACACACACACACACACACACACACACACTTTTTTGACCAATAGAACCACCACAACCGTTATGACAATAAACTTAAAAAAAAAAGAAAAACAACCCTGTTTTTTAATCTTCCGTAAGGGGATAAAAAGTAACCTATATATACATCATCATTTACTGCCTACACTCTAATGCCCGGTTTACCTTATTCCAGCGCGAATCTGTAACGTCTGCATTATTCCAGTTATTTAGGAGCCGTTGAAGTGTGAACAGTACAGTCACAGCATTGGAATGGCACTAGATTGGCAGTCTACATTATTCCAGTTGCACTGTATTGGTCGCATTGGAATCAAAAGTAGACCGCCAATCAAGTTACTAGACTGAAATAATAAATGTATTCAGTGCATTCCAGTGCCGGTTTACATTTTTCCAGTAAGAAATTCAGCGCTGGATTCGATCTCTGGACTGGGATAATGTAAACCGGGCATACATTTCATAGAAATCCGTCCAGTAGTATTTGCGTGAATCGTGAACAAATAGTTTTTCTACTTATTTTTTATTTATTTAAGTTATTAGATTTGTTTTCTGTAAAAATTTTGAGTTTGACCTAGCGGTCATACTCTTAATTTTGTAAATAGCACTACAGAAAATCGAGTTTGATACTCATGGCTTATGCTGCTGAACATAAGCCTACCCATAGATTGCCTCATCATCATCATCATCATCATCATTACAGCCCTTCGCAAGTCCACTGCTGAACATAGGCCTCCCCCAAGTAATGCCACAAAACACGATCCTGAGCCACCTGCATCCATCGACTTCCTGCATGTCTTACCAGGTCGTCACTCCGTCTAGTGGGGGGTCGCCCTACACTACGCCTACCGGTACGAGGCTGCCACTCGATAACCTTTCCTCCTCATCGGTTATCAGTTCTTCGAGTTAAATGACCGGCCCATTGCCACTTCAGCTTAATAATCCGTTGGGCTACGTCGGTCACTCTAGTTTTACTGTGGATATCCTCATTTCTGAGTCTATCACGCAGAGAGAATCCGAGCATAGTCCTCTCCATAGCTCGCTGAGCGACCTTGGGCGTCCTCATACGGCCAGCAGTGAAGGGCCGCGTCTCAGATCCGTAAGTCATCACTGGCAACACGCACTGGTTGTACACTTCAGTTTTCAGAGATTGAGGTATATCTGACGAGAAGATGTGTCGTAATTTTCCGAACGCTGCCCAGCCGAGTTGAATCCGTCGATTGACCACTCGGTCGAAGTTGGACTTACCTAGTTGGACTATTTGTCCCAGGTAAACGTACTCGTCAACAACTTCGAGCATAGTGCTCCCAACAACTACCGGCATAGGTGTGACATGGACATTAAACATGATCTTTGTTTTGTCCATGTTTCATCTTAAGACCTATCCGTTGGGGGACACCATTGAGGTCATTGAGCATAGTGCTAAGGTCCTCCAGCGATACTGCCATAAGGACTATATCGTCGGCAAATCGAAGGTGAGTGATGTACTCGCCATTGATGTTAATTCCGTATCCTTTCCAGTCCAGTAGCTTGAAAACGTCTTCCAACGCAGCGGTGAAGAGTTTCGGGGATATAACGTCACCCTGTCTTACACCTCTCTGCAGTTGGATAGATTTCGAACTCTGGTTCTGTACTTGGATAGCCATCGTAGCCCTGCTGTACAAACTTTTCAGCACCTCGATATTCCGACAGTCAACTTGGCACCGCTGAAGGGACTGTATCACCGCCCAAATTTCGACGGAATCAAAGGCTTTCTCATAGTCCACATATGCCAGGCAAAGTGGCAGATGACTTTTTTTGC